ATGTTCCCCCTTCATTCTATCTCTGTCTACATATTTCTGACAAATAATATCTACCGTTGCTCCTGTATCTCTTAGAATAGGTACTTCAAAACCATTTACTCTTCCATTTAACGTATAGGGATCTAACAGATTCTTCTGATCTCCCGCTTATCCGATACCAATCTGCCTTTTGAGTTTTAAAATTAGGGCACTGAGGACGTAAATGGTCAAAAGATCCACATTCATAGCACTGGAGTCTTTTTCTCCTATCAAAATTTGAGTCCGACTTTTTCCCAACATTGCGTGCATCATCATCTTTTTTAAATTGTGTGCCCTGAGGGTTTTTTTTTCTATTTTTGAAAACGTTACCAGTGGACTGAAAAACACCCATTTGTCTACCTGATGTTTTCGTTTTCAGTTCACCCAATTTCGTTTTCCCAACCATCGTCTTTTTCGCATCTTCAAATTCCTCTGTATTTTACCCACCAACTGTTTTGGTGAAGTGATCGTGGCCCATTCATCTATAAAATGTTCCTTAAACTCATTAGGCGTGCGCCTTTTAATCTGATCTACCAACATTAAATCCTTGAGTTGCTCAAATGTTTCGATTTTTAATCCCTTGAGCCACCCATCTAAAAATGTCTTAATTTCGTGATAAAAATCGTACCACGTAGAATCCGGATTTTTTCTAGTCTTAACAAGAAGTTGCCGAAACTTCTCCAGCACTTAACTTAAATCTTTTAAGTAGTAATTCTTTAATATGTTGGTAATCTCTAGCCTGTTCTTCAGGCTCCCTAGCAATTATATTATTTACCTCAACCGGAAGGACACCAATGAGATATGACACCCATTGATCCGTGGGCAATTTTAGAACTTTAGCTTGCCTCTCAAAAAGTTCTAAGAATAAACTGATATCATCAGTTTTTAAATTAAACTTGGGCATAAGTTTCTGAAAATTCTGATTAAATACCGGTTTCACCTTCCAGGTTTAGCAGATTCAGTGTTCTGTTTTGCTTTAAGGCATTCTAGTTCTAACTGTTGCTTTTCAATTTCTTTATTTTGTTGTAGTATCTGAAATTCCCTCTCCCTAGCTTCCTGTTCTAACTGTAATTCTTTCGCTCTTGTTTGCTTCTCTAAGTTTTTCCTTTTCTATCCTATCAGTCATAATACTTTCTAACAAATTTTTAACAAATTCTTCCTCATAATTTTTACTATTCGTTATTAAATGTTTTAAATCTATCACTTTCATATCTTCTAAAGCTATTTCCCCAAGTTCTGAAGCGACAAGGAATAGATCCCTTTTCTTAGCTTTCCCCAAAAATGCCATTTTCACAAAAGTAATTGTTCAAAACAAATAAGAACTCAAATAGTTATTCACAAATAATACACATAAAAATATATCAGAGATATAAAAACACTAACTTTTCTTCTTTCTTACAAAATTAGGCAAATAAAAATAAAAGGTTAATAAAAGCATTAATCATTGTGGATTTATTTCCATTCAAACATAAAACGAATAAACAATCCTTACTGAATACTTCGTATAAAAAAATAACAAATTCTTTTCATTTAGTACAGCCAGACAGAAAAAAAACCAGAGTGGCGCCAATAAATATAAACACCTTTAATTAACTATCGTTTTCATGACAGCTACTTCCGCTGGCAACCACATGGCCAACGCAAATTACTACGTAAATTCGATAGGCGCAGGTTTAAATCAGAACACTATTAGAACATTTCTTAAAGCTTAAATTTTTATACAATGAAATGATAAAATTTAACATTCTACTTATCAGAAAAATACACATCATATTAAAATACAGCACTGGTGTGCTTTCATGAGAAAACCAAAGTAACAAGTTTTTAATATATTCAACAACTTATTTCTTTCACAAGAATTTAACAAGAATTTCACAAGAATTTTAATTAATTTTCTTCTAATGACTTAGAAATGAAAATTGCAATATTGCACTGATGTGCTTTCACATATACACAAAATAAACAGTTCAGATTCTATCACACCAATTTATAGCGAAACGTTAAACATAAATACACTGATGTGCTGATTTATTTACGGGAATGGATTTTCTCCCATTATCATACAAAAGAAAAATATCTCGTTAGATATATAAATGCAACACTTTGATTGTTTTAAAAACTCTTATGCACTGACGTGCTATAAAATGTGATGTGCTACGTGTTAATGGGAAAATGTTTTCCCGAATATACCACAAAAGGAAAATATCTTGTTAGATATATAAAACAAACACATTGAGTGTTTAAACTCGTATGCACTGACGTGCTACTTCTGCTTTGGGAATTCATTTCCCGAATAAGTAATAAATAACTACATTATACACTTCAGGCCTGGAAATGAATATTGTGGAGAACACATACCTGGTCTCTTGTCACACAAATCTCGGTTGGAACCTCCAATTTTTATATTTCTTTCTTCTGTGACGTCGTGGATGCTTCAGTATCAACACTGGTAGTGGTGATCCATCACTTTTATTCACACAACATAACACAGATACAACATTTAATTAATACATTTAGAAAACTATAGTAGATATCCGAGCTGGTGACACGATCAGAGACGTTAACGAAGATGGCACTCGTCATCACTCGACGAACAAAATCTCCACACCTCAGCTCGCTGGCGGAGCTTCCCAAACTCTCTCACAGGCGTCTCAACAGACGTCTCATCTCTTTACGCATGCGTAATTCTCAGTTAAGTCGTTGCCATTCACAGTTCTTTAAATAAGGTGTTAAAATGAATTATAGTACTCGTAGTGTGAGGAGTTTGCTAACGACGTTCTCTCTAGTCAAGAGCATCATAGGTCTTTCTAGTAGAGTTCAGGAGCTTTCTTTACAGTATTTTGCATTTTTAGGTTTGATTCTCCTGACCTTGCTGATAGGTATCATTTAATGTTTTGTAAAATTTTTTGTGATTATAATTATGTATGCATGTTTGTTATATTTAACCATTTCTCCAGGATTTATTGTCGAAATATTAATTGAATATTCTAGGATATATTATTGAAAGATGAACTCTCCACCGAGTTCAGGTGGGGAGTGTTGTGTAATTTGAAGAAAAAGGCTAGAGGGCGCTGTTGCTCGCTTAGTTGTAAGAGAATAAAGTTTGTTCATGTCGAAGGCGGCGGCCTAAGAATACGCTCTGTATATATTAATTAAAATATTGTTAAAAATGTAAAAGTGTTAAAATTAGTGAACTCACTGAACCACCGTTATCTGATTTTGAGATGCACATATTATTATAGCGTAAAATAGTTTTACTGATGTTAAAAACAATACAGTTCGGAAAGTTTCGGAGGGGAATTTACTCAGTTATTAATTATAAAAACGTTAACATACGCAAGGTAGTACACAATCTCACAGTTTTATAGTTCAGGTCAGTGTGTCTTTCTAGTCTTTCAATGAAAACCGAAGTGTGCATATTTTCTTTCAATTCCGACTTAGTCACGCAGCTCGTTTTCTTCAGATGGTTATGAATACTTTTGAGACGAGCGTAGGAGTATCAGTAGGTTATCTGGAATCGGGAAGTGGTCTGCAGTTGTCCGATATCTAAGCTTGTCTGAAGTAGGGCTGTCTGAGGAAACCCAGCTGAGTCTGGGCCTAGGTTTGAAGGAGCAAGCTGGAAGATGGAGTCGCTAGAAAACTGTAGCTGCTGATTATTGATATTTAGTCCTGACTGGATAGATGATTACGGAGAAATACTGTCCAAATCGTTAAGCTAAGGTTGAAAGCTTAGCATGATAAATCAGTTAAAATTAGAACTGTGGTTCCTCTTAGAGTAATATTGAAGTGTGAATTTTAACGTAGAAATAATTAAAATTATTATTAAGTGGAAACTTTAATAAATTTTAAGTTAAATGTTACTGAGGTTTTTGCCTGTATAGAAGTATCAACACCATCTGGATAACTCGGGGAATAAATCAGTAGCATCTAATAGTTAGAATCCATAGAGCTAGCTGTAGTGGTTACAATAACCCCAACAATCTCAAATCTAACAGCAGGAGGCATAGATGTCTCAACCACAGAAGTCTCAACAGCGTGAAACTAACAAAGATCTTGATGCAACTAACTCGCGACTACTTAGTTGCTCAAGCAAGAAGCTCATTTGCTCTTAGGGCTTCTCAAAAAATGCATTTCCTGGGAACTCTCAGAATATTGCCAGGTTAGGGAGAAATTCCCACATGCCAGCAACTTGGCCACGAAAATATCAGTAGGTTTGGTTTGGCTTATTTAATTATAGCAAAGCACGCGAAGGCTATCTGCCTAAGGTGAGGGATGCCTTCGTGGAGGACTTATTAAGGTAAATTGGCTCGTATTTACGTTACACACGGAAAAAAATAAGAAAACGTCCACGCAGCTAGCCAGTTCAAATGGAATCGAATTTAAGTCGAACAGCTAGTGCTCAGCGACTTTACCGCTCGGTCACTGGTTGGTCAAAAATCAGTAAGAAGTTTCATTGCCGAAATCGCTGTTTCAGTTTGAGTTGTTCTTCCAAATTCAACGTTTGTTCATTCAGAATTAAAAATATTAACAGTTTAATACCCGAGATAAGAACACAGAAAAGATTTAAGGGTCCAGAAATTCAAGATCAAATAAAAGAAACAAAATTATAATACAAAAGGCACAAAACCCATTAATAAAAAACAAAAAACAAAAAAAAAAAAAAAAAAAAAAAAAACAAATATTCCACAATATAAAAACTGCGTAAAAACTAAATAATAAAAAATATATATAGAAATATTTTAAATAAAATTACCACTACTTTTGCTTGAAATACACTTCATTACAATTTCTCTGATGCTTTTAATGAAAATAAGCTTAAAACAAATATGTAAACATAATAGCTGATAAAATGTAAATAATATTATAAATAATCCATTTTGCGAAAGGAGTAAAAATTAATAGATATCGCTGCAACACTGCCGGTTAAAAATAATGCTGGGTTCTCGTTTTTTAATAAATAAATAAATAAAAAAGAAATGCTACCTGTTATTTCATGCAACATATGCATTTCATCCTCTTTATCCGAATTTATTAAAAGATCCTTATTTAATTCTAGGTGTAACCATTTTTCATTCTCCATCGAATCCTGTTCAGAAGGAAAGAATATATTGATATAAAACTTCTGAATATTTGTTATGTGCTTCATATAACTGTAAATTTGTGATGATGTATTTTGTATTTTTTTAAAAATTTGCATGTAATTGTGTATGTATGTGTACAATTATTTTTATTATGATTTAGTTTATAAAATTCTGCTCAGAGTTAATCTTCCATATTATATGAAAATTTTTTACATTTAATTTCACTATTCTAGAAGAATCCCTGTTATTGAAGAATAACTTTATGGATCTAAAAGCTTGAATTTCGTTTAAGTTATAATCAGACAAAACTTTAGTTGGATTAAAATGATCAACATATGAGTTAGAAGGAAAAAACTCAGAACATAGTTTACAAAAATACAATCTCAAGGACTCAAAATGTTTTGAAAAATATTCAAATCAAAAATTAAACGGTTTTCTATTTTCATACGAGGATAGGAAAATTACATAGATTTCAATGCTTATACATATTGATAATATAATTCTTGGCATAGATGAAATTGCATAAACTGAATTAAAAAAGCGAATGCGGCAAGTCAAATCTCGGAATTGTTTCTGGGCTTCTGTGTTTGGAATGAAAACATTTAAGAGGAAAAAATAATTCACTCTTATTATAATGGCAACATTTATAAGTGCAAAAAATTTATAAATCAGAAACTAGAAATAAATAATACTAAGAATACTCCTTAGAAATCCTTAGAAATGAAGCAAATCAGTTATAAATGACATTAAAGAACAATATTTACAAAAGAACTTGTAACTGAGCTCTAATTCATGTTAAAGGATTAGTTAGAACTTTTCATTTCTCAGTGCAGAATTTTATAGATATACTGAGGATTGGTTGCTTGGAGCATACTCATGTAAACAAATCCTAAATACTATATCAACTATTATCTCTGCTGTTAACCAAGGCATTCCCCCTTTTTTTGTACTTGTTCTGCTTAATGTTAATGACCCGTAAAAGTAATTTTTCCTGTCATTCCATAAACTTTTTCAGACATGCTCGGTGCAAACAGGTTGATCAGCTTCCGGTTAATAGTTGATTGCATTATCGTATATTTTAAATACAAAGGGTTTTTAATCAGTAAAATATCTTTCAAATATCTGCGTTGTTTTACATCTCAACGTAAATAAAGGTGTATTGTACGTATACGCACTTAACTGCTGAAGCGCATGCAAGTTTAGTTCTCATCATTTATCACCTACGAAGCAGAGAATTTATTATCTATGATTTTCAACAATTTTCTAGCACTGCTATACAAATACTTGAAGCTATTACTTACAGTATTCAGTTTTAAAAAGTTTTAACATACATGCATATATAAAGAACAATATGCAAGGTGAAAAAATACAAAGGCAGGTAGAATGGACTAAAATAAGTTGATTTTATAACGAAACTGTGTGCTCAAATGGCGCGTTTAGATGATATTGGCGGCTGCTGAGCGGCAGGTAAAAGAATTCTGCTGATACACATAGTCATTCCTTGCGCAAATTTCGAGCGATATGAGTCGCTGTACGAAAATATTTGGTATGCATTTTATTCATGAGGATGCGACTAAAACGGAGCAACTGTTCAAATAAGGTGCAGGTAAAGACTCCCAAAGTATATGATTTGAAAAGCAGATTCACGTCCGTACACAGCTCCATAGATCAAATGCATGTCTGTCTCCGTGTTTATGTACGATACATACCCTTTAAAACCGCACGGTGAATGACAATTTACGCAAGCAGAACATTTTTATCTTCCACCTTAACGCGCCATTTAGACATAGGTATCTCACTAGCAAATTTGCTTAAATCGGTTCTTTCAATCTGTTTTTATATTATTTGGCAGATATTTTTGAATTAATGTACAAATATAACGCTGCATATATTATTGTTTCCAGAGGGAAAGCTTTCGAGTAAAAACTTTATTTTATATTAATGTCAATGCAGTATGATAAATATTAGAACTACAATGACTATCAGAATCCCCTCCCTCCAAGAAAATATTTCAGCGGCCAAAAAAATAATGCAGAAATTTTAAATCTAACTCACTTTTCTTCAGCGGTTAAAATCATTATAAAGAGCTGCCCACTATGGAATTTAATACAAGGCACATAAATGTTATTTAATATCAAATACTTTAAAAATACGAATAACAAGAAACATTAAATAAGGAATATTTTATTTGTTTCACATTAATCTACAAACATTTTTTATTACCTTTAAAGAGAGAGGTGTCAAAAAAGCGTAATCATTTTTGTCGCTAACGTATTCCGTAACATCGTTCCTAATTTCAGGAAAGAAAGAAGAATTCCCAAACAATTTTGTACGGGTGATCCAGAACTGAAAGCAAAGGTTAGAAAAATATTACAATTATTATTTTATATACAATTATTATACACTTATTATTATGCACTTAATATTATACACTTAGTATATACAGTTAATGTTATACAATTAATTAATACTTAGTATATACAATTATTATACACTTCTTAATTTTGAAGAATAATACCAAGAAACGTTTTAATCAAACTTTATTTTTAAGAACTGAATCTTTATTTTTAAGAACATCTTCAAAAATATAAGCGATATTGTCACTTAAAGTTGTAACAATTATTCTTAAGATTTTCTAACTATCAGGTTTTGAAATAAACCTATTCTATCTTCTTTTAAACCTCTTACAATTTTCGTCCAGACCAGAAAGTTATGCAATTTAAAGGCATGCGGCATAGTTTAAAGTTAAGAGTTTAACTGCGATAACTAGTGCGTTTACTGTATCTGTGCTGTCTCACTGAGAATTATAGGGTGATACAAAAGCGGCGCACATTAAACTTTAAAAAATTGCGGATATTCCAAAATGGACATTAATGGCTAATTGTTTCAATGAATTACACACTTGTACAGTTACAAATAATACAGCACTTGAAATTTCAGTCGCAATGTATGCTGTTCGCTTTAAAAACAATCTCTTTGGTGCAAGACGAAGATGCATTCTTCCCAAGCCGAAAGAAATTTATAATTGAGCATTACTTCGTAATGCACAAAATCGATTGCGATGTCATCTTCTCGCACTTCTCGTTGGTAATTGCAACATCGTATTCCTAACTTCGTCCATTTTGCCTGAACTGCAAAGGGATGGATAATTCTTATGGTGAGCGCTTCCAATTTCTCCACATCAGATTACCAAGCAGAAAATCATTGCCCCTTTATGTTCACGGAATATTCGGAAAGTTCTCTTGAAAATCTTAACTTTTCTGTTAGAATGTCATTGCGAAGTAAAGCTGCTATTGGTTTTATATTCAAGTAACATTGGACTATCTCCTTTACCAGATTTTTTTCTTATTTTGAATAAATAACTGAATATAAAAAACATAATCATATATCCTAGGTATAAAAAGATAATTTTTTTCTACATACTTGCTCTTTAATGATGCATTTATCAAAAATATCATCTTCAGTATCTACAAAAGGCAGTCGAAGGAACCTTTCACCTGTGTAACGGCAAACCTGTATGAAATAGAACAATTGTATCAATGCCCTTGTATCTTCATACACGTAAAATGATAGGAAATACTATATTTCCTGCCGCATCCTCTCCCGCAGCTTTTTAATGCCAGATTCTGAAAATTTAAAAAATATTCGAGTAATTTACGCATTTCTCAATGCGTTCAGAGAACGAGCTCCCTTAAATTTTAAACTGTATTCGTCCACGTAGCGGTTGTTTTCGTCTTACTAACAGACACAAATCGTTACAAACTACCTACGAAGATCAAGCCGAATCGTTCCAGCCTAATATAAGAACCAACCAATCACAGCGAAGAAAACATGAAATGAATTTTATGCCATGATTTCGCTGAGTCAGATGCGCGTTCATCTTCTTTAATTATTTATGGATGATTCGAGGCCTAATGAATGACAGAGACAACAAAAAGAACGTGCGGGATTCAAGTTACAGGGAAGCAGAAATGAAGATATCTTATTAGATATTGTGATGCTAATATTAGTATGCATTCTTATTAAAATGTAGATTTCTTTTAAAGAAATAATATTATAAAAACTACCTGTTATTTATACATGACGACTTTTCATTTACTTTTTTCTTGCTCTAAATGCGTCCTCCGTAAATTAAATTATGTGCATAATTTTCCCCTCGACTTTGGAGAGATAAAATTAGTAACAAAAGGCGTGGGCAAACAAGTGAGGGAATACGGTATTCCTTAAAAATAATCTTAGTTATTTTCCGATTTACTTCGCGCGTATTAACTAGGTTACGAATTAAGCAAACATAATTTCTTATTATAAGTTTCTTAATAATTCTTTCTTTCTTATTTTAAGTTCTTTAATTTCTTATTTTAAGTAAGTATTTTAAGTTCTTATTTTAAGTTTATTTAATACGGAAAATTGACATTGTTTTGCATACTAATTTAATTTTAAGGTTAAAAATGAGCACCTTCTTGGGATTAAACTGCTTGAAAACCCAGGTAAAATAATAATTTTTTATGTTAATTATTAATATGCAATTATATAGTCTTCTTTTATACTTTTTATGCCAGCCCTCAAATTTATTATGATTTTGATTAATCGTAGATGTTGTTTCCGTTAATTTCTCGATAAACTGGGAGCTGGCAGTATCTCTTCTCAAATCATGCTTACAGAAATTTAAAAGAAGGAACAAAATGTAGTGAAAAAGAATAGGAAAAACACTTACTTTTAAAAACCATTCAGACAACAAATCACTGAATGTATAGAAAACAGATATGGGATATTGAAATGCAGCCGTCAGATAGTCTGTAACAATAATGATTTGCAGAATGGAGAAAGAATTCCTTAACTATCATTTCTTTAAATTTATTCTTTTAAGTGTTTACGAGTGAGTACCGATAGCGTCACATGTATATATGCACACAAATACATGCGACATGCGTATGTGAAAAATTGTAACACAGTTTTTAATCAAATACTTATTATTCAAATACTTACCATTCAAATATTTATTATTCAAATAATTAACATCATATATGTCAGAAAATAAAATTTTTTCTATTAGTTAATATCTCTGCACAGTAATAGATTATAATTTTTGTAAATATTAATAGCCCGTGACACACACACACACACACACACACACACACACAAAAAAAAAAAAAAAAAAAAAAAAAAAAAAAAAAAAAACAATAGTTTCTTTAACCAAATATAATAATTAGGAACGCCATAACAAAAAAAAAGGGGGGGGTTGGAAACATCTGAGAAATTTCAGGATAATCTAAGAGAATTAAAAACGAACAGATTTGTTATGCTTCTAAAAAATCAAATCATTGCTTTCAGAATAAATTTTTTCATAATGTCTTTAAAAATAACTTACTTGTCTGCGTAGCTAAAGAAATAACGATTTCAGGGCAGAATGTGAGAGCATAAGAAAACGCATCTTTAAGTAAAAGTCTTTCTTCATAAGGATCTGGAATCTTTAATGGAAGCATTTAAAAATGTGTTATTTTAAGCATTTTATTAGAAGAATAACACAGAGAAAGAAGCCAAAAGGCTTTCAATAAGTTTTACTGTTTCATTACAAATAATATTTTAACTTTCTAATTAAATATTTAATATAATAAATAACAAAACAAAACAAAACAAAAAAAGTAACTAATTTAACCGCTTGAGAAACTAATAATCTCAAAACTAACAGGCGCTGGAAGAGTCTAAATAAATTTTAGAAGCAAAAAAATAGAACCGACTGTTTGTACTTTAGTGATAATTTTAAGATATCAATTCATTTTGCGTCCTTCTCTCTCTTTATTAGAAAATAATTAGCATAATTCTGAAAGAAATATGCTAATTAGTTTGACGATACAGAACTCGTAGGAAATGAATGTACATAAGAGTTAATTATAAAGAATGTAAAAAACTCTCTCTTTGTTTGGAATTAAGTTTCATCAGTTAACACAAATAAATATCAGACATTGGCTACTGAAAAAAACTAATTTCTCCGTATTTTCAAAATCATAAAACTTTTTTATGTTGAAAAGCTCGTCCTTGTACTTTTTAATAAAATTATAAATCATGTTATTTGCTATTTTATGCCAGAAAAACATTTTCTTCCAGGCGTTTTATGAAATTACATCATATATAGACATAAACTTTTTCAGTACTTAATTTTTTATATTTTGTGTGCTTAAAATTTACTGGCATGTTACATAATAACATGGCATACATACTTGGCAAAAAATATCTGACGCGTCCAGGCAATTTAATTTTGCCCGCTTCCTAAGATGCAGCGAATGAACGCACATTGGTATAATGCCTAAAATAAAAGTTAATCTTACTCTCATAAATAATTAAATTAATAATTAAAATTTATATTTATAATATATATGCAGCGAATGAACGCACATTGGTATAATGCCTAAAATAAAAGTTAATCTTACTCTCATAAATAATTAAATTAATAATTAAAATTTATATTTATAATTTTTAGCAGCATTAGCACTGGATTTGACTGAAACTTTATTTAGCAAATTTTCTTGCCTGTGTTTAAAATTAATTGATTTAATTTTTAAAAAAAAATATTACTTGGAATTTTTTTTTTCCGCAATTTGAAGAGGATTTCATTCTTTTTCCTTTGGAAAATCATTTTTCTTCCATAGGATCAGCAATAATTAATTATCCTTATATATTTATTATTTGTATTTTACGTTATTATTATTAATTCAAATACTTCTACTGTTTCATTTTCTATAGCTTAATTTCAGTTTTCTAAGAAATTAACTTTTAATAATTATCCTATTGCCTTAGTTTTTCTCTTCATTTCCTGGTGCATAATCAAATTAATAACTGATATGATGTACGGATTATTTTAATTTTCTAATAGTTATTTTTGATTTTGAAACCTTTTCCTTTAAATTCTTGTTTTCCACTTACAACTCCCTGACAGAATAAGATTTCAGTATCGCGTTTTACGTAAATGAAGCAGAACGCGCTGTACTGAGATCTTTTGAGCTCCTCTACGGTACGCGTAATGGCAGACCGCACATTGAGTTGAACAGTGTTAAACGAATGTCGCATACTGCGCATGCCCAGAAAACAATTTGGCGTAATTACTATGTTGGCGCGATTTGAAAAGAAGATAAATACGGTATATGGTAGATGTACCGCCATCTGATTGTAAACAAATCTGGCGTTTAAATCTTCGTAGAGTATAATGTAAATGTAAATTAATTACTGTGTTAAAATACTATTTTTTGCTGTACTGCTCAAACAACTAGAAAGCTGAAATTATCGCGAAGTCCGAAGTAATGTGAAGCAGTGTTTGCATTCAAAATGTAAAATATAATACCTATGAAATTTTGCACATTCCTTTGGAACTGTACAAATTTTCGTTCAGAAAAAGACTGAAATTTAGGATATATTAGTTGAAAATTTATTCATTATACTTTTAAGCAATAAAAACAATTCGGGATTTACCATACGTTCCATTCGTACATACATAAAGAAACACTGAGGGATATAACAAGTGCTTGCAAATAACACTGAAGAAGTTTTACAATTCCTTAATGCTAGTTATTAAATTCTTTGAAATGATAAAATAAAAGCGTGAATATACGCTAACAAACTAAGCGAGATACTCCAGTTTACAATTGCTGAATTATAATATGTAAACAAATTACATTTAAATAACGAATTATTACGAACATATATTAACAAATATTAAATGCACTGTTATTGACAAATTACAATGAAATATATATTAGAAAAATAAGCAAGTGCAATCGGTATGGACGTTAAAATAACTAATAAGCAAAGTTCCACAACACTACAATTGTAAACATCACTCGACAGCCATGGTGATCACGAATAAGCTAGCGTAGGGTTGCTTAGTCGCCAATATTTCTCTCCGCGCCAAAGGTACACCATCAAGCATGCGCACTAAGCGAAATTTGCTTAACATTGTTCAACTCAATGTGCGGTCTGCCATTACGCCTACGGTACGGTGACTGAACTTCCCATTAAGTACTAGTTCCACTTTATTTACATAAAACAGGATATTGAAATCTCTCTCTCGCTTTCTTTCTATATGTATGACAGAAACCTTTTTTAAAATTAAATTCTTCAAAAAATGAAATGTATTAAAAAGTTGTGGTGTTGCACGGCCCCAACCTACACGCAACAATAATAGTGACTGCTATGAACTGGAAAGTACACAAAACTCTTAAGAAGGGTTTAACTCCCTTTTTATTCTACTTTAGAAGTTACAGATGCGTGCCATTGACGCTCACAAACTACGCCGACTCGGCGGTAAAATAAAAATAAGAAACTAAAAATGAATAATAACAAGTTACTACCTACGAGGCTCTCTAAACGTAACTACCTAACCGCGTTCTAAGATATCGCTGATATTTCAGCAAACTTCTGAATATTAAGTTGAAAGATTCAACTATCTGCCGAGGCAAGCACACAGGCCGAAACGCGCGGTTCTTCAATTTCTACCTAGCCACCTCCACGCTCGTGAAGCAAGAAAGCACACATTCGAACTCGTTTCCCTTCTATTTAACTCAAATTTACTTCCACTGAAAATCTGAATACTTTGCGCGTTCTACTAAAATTTACATACTATGGCATTGGCAATTCCAGATGAAAGTAAGGCTTGACAGGAAAGATAGTTTAAACTTAAAATAAATGTTAGTTAAAATAAATAT